CCCAATTCATTGTTGAATTGAGACCTTTTACACTGATGTTGTCTTGTTACTTTTTTTCACTGGTGAGACAAAGTACTTAAAACCCTCAAGAAAAGGTTTATTTAGTTCAGTTTGTAGAACTTTCAGTCCATAATTGGGTGGCATCAAGGCAGGGTGACTTGGCAGAAGGGCATCATAAAGAACAGTTCACAGCACCCACAAGGTAGCAAAAGTAGTAAGGGAGGGACTGTAACAGCATCTTTCCTTTATATCTTTTCCAGGCTACTTCAGGAAGGTAGCATTCACATCCTTAATCCTAGTGCCACTGCGCCTAGCACTGTACTACAAACCAATGCCAGTGTCACACACTCTAGACCCAGCCACCTCTGAAAATCACCACCTATGACTACATGAGGCTGTGGGGGAACATCTAAGCACAAGCCATAACAACGGTTATAAGATGTGTATTGACTGATCATTTTATCTTCCTGCTGCTGGCTTTCTTCCCCCATTTAATTACTTGGCTTGCCAGGTGGATTCATTCTGTTGGGGTTCATGGAGTTGTAGCCCTCATATGTCCTTCACAACATTTTGGAATGCTAGTTTTGTGGTCATTAATTTCTTCAGGTATTCTTTGTCATGGAAGTATCTTATTTTTCTATCAGGGTTGAAAGATAATGTCAACCTGGGTTGGATGTTGTCTTTTAGGGCTTGAACTACTTCAAGTTCTACTTGATTTGAAGGTTTGTATTGAGAAGTCCACTGTCATTCTGATGTGTTTTCCTTTATAGGTGATGTGTTTCTTTTCTCCAACAACTTTTAATGTTCTGTTCTTATATTGTTCTGTAATCTTGACTATTATATCCCTTGGTGTAGCTTTTTTAGTTTTTATTTTTTAATTTATTTGTCTACAGGGTCAAATACAGGGTTTACAGGGTCTCACTATGTATATCGGACTCATAGTGATTCTGTTTTCAACCTCCCAAGTGCTGGGATTACAGTGTGTACCACCATGCCCAGTTTCAATGTGTAGCTTTTTATAAAATCATGACTAATTGGAGTTCTATATGCCTCATTTAACTGTATGTCAAATTCATTTTCCCTGCTCGGCAAGTTTTCTGCCATTACCTCTGTGAACAGGTTTTTTTGTTCATACTGTCTCCTGCTGCCTTATTGACACTGATCAATCTCATGTTCTTCCTATCATCTAGCATTTGCTGGATTGATTTCTCATGTTTGTTTGTTTTTTTTAACCAGGAACTGAACTCAGGACCTTGTACTTGCCAAGCAGGCGCTTGTGCCACTAAGCCAAATACCTGGCCCAGGTACTGTACTATTTTTTGACATTTTTTTCTTATGATCATTAACCACAATACTGTCTTCTAGCTGATATTCTCCCATATTGGCTCATTCTGCTGCATATACTTTCAATATAATTTTTAATCTTCTGGATATGTTTGAATCTATCTCAGGGATTCCATTATTTTTCCTATGATGGGTGTTCATGATTCCCATCATTTTCCTAAGCTCCTGTGGTTTTTTTGTTTTGTTTTTTGTTTTTATCTGTATCTGCTCTAGAGTAACTAACCATGCCTTTTATGGTCACCATATCTCTACTTATCTGAGAAATTATTTCTGATGTGATTTTTTTTTCTAGAGCCTCATTCATCTGCTTTTCCTTTTGTTTCTGAGACAGGGTCTTGCTATGCAGTTCAGGCTAGTCTTGAGGTACATACTGCTGCTGATTAGAATTTCATGGTCCCCTGCTCAAGGCAGAGGAGGGAGGCGGTGCTGTACCTAGAGACTCCTGGAGGATGGCAGGGGTCATAAATGTGTTCTTGAGGAAGCTCTTCATGAGGTGTTAAACACATGGAATGCCTGGGGCACAATCACTCTAGCACATGTAATGTACAGGGAACACCAGTGTAACTAACAAAATCTATTAACATATTTTGTAAGCACAATTTTTTTTTTTTTTTTTTGTGGTCCTAGGAATTTCACACACAGCCTTGCACATGCTAGGCAAGCGTGCACCACTGAACCACACCTCAGCCCTCCACCCTTACCATTCTCCTCTGCTACTTCTATAGATACACTGCAAATGTGCAGAAGATTATTTCATTATTTTTTAAGCCTAGAAAAATATTAGAAGTTATGCCAAATGTTATCAGTTATTGTCTCTTAATAATAGCATTAAAAGTTTTTTTTTTTTTTTAGATACAGGTTTTACTAAGTTTCTCAGCCTGACTTCTAACTTGTGATCCTCCTGCCTCAGCCTCTAGAGTAGCTGAGAACACGTGTGCCCAACAGACTCCAAATAATACATTTCAATGATACACTGCCATACAGAGTATATAGTTGTACTTAAAAGTAATACACATAGCTGGATGTGGTGGTGCATGTCTGTAATACCAGCACTCGGGAGGCTGAGGCAGGAGGATTGCTGTAAGTACAGGACCAGCCTGGGGTACATAGCAAGAGTCTGTTTTAAAAAACAAAAACAACACAACAGCAATAAAATCCATAGAGGGAGAAAACAATGACCAATTTCACAAGTTGCATTTCTATTTTAATTTTTATTCCCAGGGTCAGTTGCTCAGTGTGTCTATGAATCCATGGTGATGGGCATCTGCTGCCTGCTTCTCCTTTTTGGAGACAGAGTACTGCCTTCATAAATCACACTTGCTACTATAACAGCGAAGAAAAGAAAGTCAATGAATTTGTGTCTCTTGGAGCAGCTGGTACAGTCCCTAATTTCCCTCCTTCCCCTCTCCTCTCTCAGTTAAAAGCCATGCATGCAGTACACCCCTTTCCACCGTCCTTCACAGCCTCTCAATATGGTTTTTTTTTTTTTTTTTGGGGGAACCGTGGATTGAACTCAGGCCCTTGTGCTTGCTGGGGAAGCACTTACTCCACTGAGCCATCTCCCCGGCCCCTCTCAATATGTTTTGACTTTTAAATGTGAGCCAATTCTGGTTGCCAAGGAGAAATACTGCTGACAGATAAGTAATGAGTCACTCACGTGAGGTATGCACTAATAAAAATTTAATATCATAAAACAAATCAGAAAACACCAATTGTTTTTTTTTTTTTGAACATTCACAATTAAAAGGGAAAGAGACAAAATTATAAGGCAGCCATCTATGGAATGATTTCATGTATACAAAGGATCCAAAAAAAGGACATTTAAAACCACTGTTCAGGCCACCAAACCGGGGAATTGCAGTTATTATCCCACGAAGACTCCCAGCTCAAGGGAGGACACCACCTGACACAGATCAAAGCCAGTCTCCTTGTTTAAGCAGCTGTTTTAGGCGAGCTTACCTAGAGAATTCCTGCATAGCTGGCAAGTCTTTCCCACAAGGACAAATCTCCTTCAGATCTCCTGAGGGAGTTGAGATGTAACCTCAGCTAGAGAGGTTACTTCACTGGTTTTAATTTCATAGCCTCTCCAGTCACGTCCTACGAGTGGCATGCACAGTTCTGTTCTCAGCAAAAACCTTCTGATGCAAAGAAGGGTCCTCTCTCAGACAACCACGTTTTTGCCTCGCACTGCAGCAGTCTGGGATGAAGTGGTTGTGATTCTCAGGCAAGAGACAGGCACAATCTTTGGGCGTGTGCTGTTGGCAAACAGTTCCTGCGTCAGTACCTAGCTACCATGTGTGTCAGGGGCTTAATTAAGCACTCCGATGCTGGTGTGTCCTCCTAGCTCTAAGCCTTGAAAGAGAGAAAAGAAAGAAACCAGGCAGTGACACTGAGAAGTAGGCTGGTATAAAACAATTAAATTTTCTTCTTTCTACAAGAAATGACAAAGCAGTTGTTTTTTCTCTAGTGATTCAAAGTACTGGAGCAGGGTGAATGGGTTATTTTGAACTGGGAAATAAAGAGGTGAAGGGTAGGTAGTACCATTTTCAACTCTTTACCTTCCAGTATAGAACCTCTGAAGAAAAAAAAAGAAAGAAAGAAAGCTGTCAACAGCATGCATAGCAAAGCTGAAGGAAACCTGGAACATCCCTGCTTTGCTGATATGAAAACTGAGAAGCAACGAACTGCAGAACAAATTGGGGGAGAATAGGTCAGTAGTAGTTTTCAATTTAATCTGGCATTTTGGAGAGCATTTCGAATCTGAAGAAAGTCTATCCCTAGGAAGGACAAGGACTCAAACTGCAATGAAGACTGACTGGTTGTGAGGAAGGATGGACCGTGCTTTTCATCCTCAACTGCATCTCTTTGGTAGCCAATAATTTTAGCAGTCGTGGAGACAATGTAAGTATTGTTAATGTTTTCAAACGTGTTAGAGCATTAAGGCATCCACAGCTAAGGAGGCAGTCTGAAATGGGAAAAAACCAACCAAAACATGCTGAGGTGAACACTAGATGGCCTTTCCTGAGACCACGCCCACAAGGAGCGAGCTCTTCCTTAGCAAGGCCCCTGCCACACTGCTCGGTTCCCTGCCTGAAGATGGGTTTGAGCCCTGTGAGATTTGTATGGCTATTTCTGCCTGCTGACTGGGGGAGGAACAAAGAATTCTGGAGGCTGCAGCTTTAAGACTGGGAAAGCCCATGACTTCTGAGAGCTGGTTAATATTGAGGGCCAGAAGGGAAGGCAAGTTGGGAAGTCTTATGGTTCAATCCTTGCCAGAGTTCAAGGCCCAATCCAGCAAGACATTCTAGCCAAACTGTTTTAGCCCATGTGCTGCCGAAGTGAGCACACCTAGCCACAGTGCTAAGTGTGATGGCAAGGCACTGCTGAGAGAGGACTGGGCCAGCACAACATATTTCTGATTATTGCACACAATTCGATATGACAGACTTAGCTCCATCTAAACCAAACCAGACATAAAAAATCATATCCTCTGATAAAGTAAGTCTATGGAGGGGTTCAGACAATCATACTTGGAAGGACAAGGTGACACCCAAAATGCCCACAAGTCAGCTGTTAGCCTCTTATCAGCAGAGTCGGTCGGCCTTTCCCTCCCAGGCCTCCCAGGCCTCCCGGGCCTCGAGGGCCTCGCCGGCCTCCCGGGCCTACCCTTGGTTTAACAACCTTGCATGCAGTGGTTACCAGCTGCTATACAAACTGCATCTACTGAGGCTTCTTTTTTCTCTGCAACTAGCAGAGGGCAGAGGGCACACAAGTTTAATTCCACAGCTGCTGACACAAATCAAGGAAGAAAAGAAATCACAGGCATGATATAGGTTTACGCATCATGTAACATGTTTAACCAACAACTAAATCCACTGCCCTGAAGAAACTAGTCTTGGTTCCCACTTGATGTAAAAAATGTGCTTTGAAATGGTACAGAAAATCAAAATAAATTAAGAATACAGTATTATACATTTATCTGACAAAACTATTTATATGTGTTTTGGCAAACATGGAAAATTATCTTAGTTTGTTAAATACTTTTGCTGTCTCAACTGTTTAAATTATCAGAATATCAGAGATTATGTCAATTTGCACATGAGGAGGTGATACCGAGACCTTAACAAAGCTGCATTTGACACAGAAAGTTAACTTCTTTGAAGGCAATAAGAACAGAGACAATAGTATCTTCCTCATCACAGTTGGATGGTGGCTGTTCTCACAGGCATTCATCGCACCAAGTGTGGACACTGCCTCTGACGGCGAGCAGCAGACTGTAGGAGGGCCAGAGGGACAGTCAGGAGATAACCTGGGGAAGACCAACAAGGAGACAGGATCCCGAGAATCACCTTTAAGCTACCGGGCAGACGCTTCTCTTGTATGACACAGCTACCTTCTTTATCCTACAGGTGCTCATGTGAGCAGGCACCATGCTCCTACACTGGACAACTGCTTAGCCAGAGGGACTGCTGACCTGATAAAAGAAACACTCAAAAAAGAATTTTGGTAGTCTTTTTAAAAAGGTGACTACAAAGATGTCAGTAACTATCCTCATGTATGTAAAATTTAGCCTCCCTTCATTTCCAAAGATACTTTGGGATCAACTGTTCTTGGAGGAAAGCCTCAGCCCAACTCTACTAGAACTTGGTTCTTCTGAGACTGTGCTAGAGGCAACTACTTTGCAATGGAAACTAGAAAGAAATGCTCCAAAAGGGCCCCACCTCTTCTGAAGCTCGTCCAGTTGCTGCTGCGTCCAAGATGGACCAGTGGGCTGCACTAAGAGGCACATGCAAAGGAAGTGAGGACATCTCTCTCACTGCCCCCTCCCAGGGCCTGGCTCCTTGAGCATTAGCCAGTTTTCAGTGTCCAGCCCTTCCTGCCTTCTCTATGGCTGCAAATTATCTGCAGTCACCTTCAGCTATGACCTTCTATTAAAGCGTGGCATCGATGCTAAAGTGCCAGTCTTACACGGTGAGAACCATGTCAAAAGTCAAGGGGTAAAGTGGCAGCCTCTAGAAGAGATTTAGTTCACTTCCAGAACCACTGTATGAAGTCCCTACTTTTCCTTAAAACTAAATTCCATCTTCCCTGAGAATGGGGTTAAGAGAAACATCCAAATGCAGTGTGCCAAGGGCCCTTGAAGACAGCACTCCACTCCCTAGCTGCGCATCGCTCCTATGCTGCACACTTGTCCATTCCTCCTGGGTCGCCGTTCAGCTCCCTCCACATTCTAGGGACACAGGTGGAGATGGGCGAGGCGAGGCAGACACTGAGGAAGGGAGCGGCTGGCAGGTGCCGGCTGTTCTCACTGGGCTGAGGACCTGAACGTTTAGTGCTGGTGTCCTACTGACAGGATTAGTGGGATGAGGCAGCCCAGAACCAAGGCAGCCACCTCCAGGCGGCTGAGGCCTCTCCCTCCAGCGCTGTCAGGCTTGTGGCTGTGCCCCATCCCGCCCACCTCAGGGAGGACGTGGACGGTGGCAACGTAGAGAAATGTCCCGGCAGAGAAAAGCATGGCCACTCCTGTGGCGTTGACTTCTGAAAGGGCTTCTTTACTGCTCTGTTAATAAAAAGAGGAAAAATTAAGTAAAGATTGGGGTCAGGAAGAAGTCCTGGTTAAAGATCCCTCAGCAATAAATCCTGGTGTGGACTGGGACACCAGAGACATCCTGAGGTCAGAGTAGTCTGTGTTATTCATGGGCACTTCCAAATAAGGATTTAGGAAGAGCAGTCATGTATATGACTGGTTTTCTTTTTAAACATTATAAAGTGACAATTTACAATTATATATACTTAGAAGATATAAAATGATGATTTATGAATACAATCTGGAATAATTAAACCAAGCCAATGGACACATCCATTATCTCATGTATTTGGGCTTTTTTGTGGCTATACTATTTGAATTTTATATATCAAGTTTGAAGTATACAGTCCTATCAACTATATGCACTATAATTGCTTTTCAAAAAAAAAACCACTTCAAGTGCTAGTTGACAGTTTGCCAGTATTATTCTTAAGACAGAACAATATAATAATGTAGATATTACATTTCAGATATTAATTCATGTATTTCCCCAATATTTACTTATTTGATTTTATCACTAACACTTAACAAGCGTTCTCTATGCCCCGGGGCTAGGCCAGACACTTGAGATACCGTTGTGATCAAGCTGTGGAAGCAAGCCTCACAGAGCTTGGAAGGATCTCAGGTGTCAATCTTCAGACAAGTTATTTCAGCCTTTTCTGTTTAAAAAATGTATCTATGGACTGGATGATAAAATAAAAAAGTCTAAGCTATGGAGGCAGCGTGAAACTCCATGCCTGAGAACTATCAATACTTTCCTATAAAAATTCTAAAACTTACATTGATTAACTGAGAGTCACTGAAAGAAGACAGGATCGTCACGGAAGTGGAAAAGGGTTTACAGACACTCATTTATTAGCAACCAACAGCAGCAAAGCCTTGAGCAACAGCAGACTGTGTGAGCACACCTCTCCTCATTTCCCGACTGAGCCCCACTCCTCAGGTCATTAAATGAATTGGTAAGGAAAGGAGGGACTGTGTACAGTATATACATTATAATACTCTGAACAAAGAAATGGTCAAAGGAAGCGCCAACATGATGACTTTGCATAACTCTTACATGCAGCACAGCACTGCAATAGATGACAGATAGTGCAAGCAGCAAAAGCTGCAGTACTGTACTGCCAGAACGGCCCCCAAGGCTGAGCTGTTGCTCCTGGTGCTGCATCCTAAGTCAGCATGCGGGCTGTTAAGAACTGACCAGCAGGGCCAGAGAGATAGCTCAGTAGAATAAGCGCTTGCCTGGCAAGCGCAAGGGCCTGAGTTCAATCCTCGGTTCCGCCAAAAAAAAAAAAAAAGAACTGACCAGAGTGCCTTGGTTGTAAATCCAAAGAACTGTTAAAGGTAAATTGTTAAGGTATGTCATTAAATGAGGAATTCCTGTGGTACATAATGATGAATCAATGGCCTTCAGGGGGGCATAGGAGCAAGTAGTTCCTCTGAACTAGGCCTGAGTCAGTTTGGTTTTAAAGTTTTCTTTTGAGGACCAGGGATACAGCTCAGTGTCACGGCACCTGCCTGGCAAGCACATGGTCCTGAGTTCAATTTCTAGGACCCAAACAATAAAAATAAAATAAAAATTTCTTCTGATAGCCTGGCAGCAGACATCTATATAAAACCAGGAGAAGTGGTACCCAGGTAACTAGAATTCTAAGGCATGGACAGGCCCAGGTTGGAAGAGCGCACAGTGCTGAGCTGACAACTGACAAGCGCTCCTTCATGTCTAGAGCTATGCGCAAGGCTAAGAACTAGAAAGCTCCCAGGAAGTGACAGAACAGCTGAAGTGCAAGGAACCCAATGTTCAGCTGAGCATAGCCACTCTGCTCGCTCCTGCTGCCACAGGGCTTGTTACGCATGCCCACCTGCCTGCATAACAGTAAATACCATCTGTCAAATGAAATGCGCATGGCTGGTTAAGTGTAAGTGATATATTGTTTTATATATTAAAGTTGTATTGTGTATTTGTACAAATATGCTCAGACTTCAAATTAAATGAGCAAGGAAATTTAAATTTATCAAGAGGCCCGACTTGGGATTAAGATGGTTACCTTATACAGGCTTTACTTCTGCTTTTGATCTTTAGTTTGGGAAAGTAATTCAGATGAAAATGTGACATAACAGACTGTGAGCTCTGGCAGGCCACAAGGGAACTAGACACACATCTAGGTCGACTAGGGATGGTCAGATTTACCTTGCTCAGTCCTAAGTACGTCACCATGGACATAGCTGGTGCTGCCAGTGCAAAGACCAGCAAGTGCTTTCTGATTCGGTTCCGCTCCAGGCCAGCGTGCATCAAGAAGGAAACCAGGCCAAAAGCCGCTGGGGCCTGGAAATGAACAAACAGCCCTTGTCATCGCTCTACCGGAACGGCTTGATTCTGCATCAGGAAGTAACATCGTCTGACTATGAAGTCAGTCTCACAGCAAAACCCAGACAGCATGAAGAACAAGCCCTACCTTCTAAAAATTAATGCTTTAACCTAAGAGATCTTTCTTACACAGTGAATGTTTCTTAAAGGTAGGAAAGAGAAAGAGTCAAGAGAAAAATACTTAAGAAAAAATTCCACAAAATATAAAAACCTAGATAATTTAACAGTTTGTGTATCTGACCACAAACAATATAGCCCCTCAGTAAGTCTCTTACTAAGACAGCAGCAAAAATCTACTATAAACAACCTATATATTTCTTCAAAATGCATGGGAAAACTAATTCCCATTCCAGAAAAATCATTAAAGACCAAGAGAAGGGCCGGCCAAATAGCTCAGCGGATTAAAGTGCCTGTTCAGGCAGATGCCGTGGCCAGTAGTTTAATCGCTGGGTCTGCCGTGCCAACCCTGCCCCTGGGGTGTGCTGAGACAGCAGCTGAGACTGGATGAGGTGGTGCGTGCCTGTAATCCCAGCACATGGGAGGCTGTAAACAGGAGGATCACGACGAGTCCGATCTATGCAGTCAGACCCTGTAGACCCTGTCTTAAAATACAAAATGAAAGAAAGAAAGAAAGAAAGAAAGAAAGAAAGAAAGAAAGAAAGAAAGAAAGAAA